TTTTTTGTTGCAGACAGACCATCGTTTACTCTTTTCTATCTTTCGATCAAAAAAGGGATTGACAACACATACTGCTAATAGACTGAAAAGATGGGGAACTATTCTCCTCAATTATGACTACAAAATGGGGTTTCTTCCATTCACTAAAATCTGTCATGCAGACTGATACCTAAGTACGCTGAACCCCTGGAAGACACAGTCATTGCTGCCATAAGAACAGCGGTCGAGATAAAAACTACCTTGTGCAATACCATCAGTCAGCTTCCTATAACAAATGACGAGATAATAGACAAAGCTTCCGATGATGAATTCATAAAGGAAGGAAAGGACAAACTAAATAGTAAAAACCAGAATATCTCAGAAGTTTACTCACTCTGTAACGACATACTAATATACAGAGACAGAATAGTAATCCCATCTACATTACAGAAAAGAACATTAAAGGAATTCCATGTTGGCCATCCGGGAACTTCAAGAATGAAGAGTCTGATGGGGAGTTACGTTTACTAGACCAACATGGACAAGGATATTGAAAACACTGTAAGATCGTGCAAAGGATGTGATTTGGCTGCTAAAGCACCCCCGATAAAATTCAATCCCTGGCCTAAAATCGACCGTCCGTGGTCGCGGATACACATTGATTTTGTTGGTACACTTGATGGTTTTTACTACCTCGTTGTAGTTGACAGTCATTCCAAGTCGCCATAAATATAGAAATGTCAGAAACCGACCGCGGATGTGACAGTAAAGTTTTTGCCCGGTGTATTTTCCCCGTTTTGGAATTGTTGATTGTATCGTAACAGACAACTGTATCGAATATATTACCATGGCGCCATATCACCCAAGAAGTAATGGTCAGGCAGAGTGTTTTGTGGACACATTCAAGAGAGCACTGAGGAAGGCAAAAGGTACTCCCACTGATACAGCTATACAACAGGTTTTGCAGGTCTATCATGTAACCCCTAATGGCAGTGCTCCATCTGCTAAGATACCAGCAGAGGTCATCTTTGCCAGGAAAATAAAATCGGCATTTGACAAATTCCTTCTGAGTGAAACAAAAGCAGGAAATAGGAATAAAGTACTTAAAAAGTAAGATCAGTGAAAATGTTTTTTTTCTTGCATTTCGGAATAAGGGAGATAGGAACAATAGAGAGACAAATTGATAACATGATTTACATGGTTTAGGGACTGAAGTTTATACACAAATGTCATGTAAACCAAATTACAAAATGGTATGAAAGCGTAGTCGACAGGGATCCCATAGAAGATGACACTATGGACGTCGTCTTTGACACGATTGAGGTTCCAATACAGCAATCAGTGCCAGAAATCAGAAGGCCCAAAAAGAAAAAGGAAATTTACGGAATCTTTAGAAATTAACCCGAAAAGAAAAATATATTGAACATCTTTCATTTCATACCATGTCTACAGAAAAAGGACAAGAATGAGTAAAAAAAAAAAAATATTTCCTCACTTATGAACTTTGAATTACCAGGAAAGCACAATCCGCATTGGATTATTGAAAATTATTAACATTATAATTTACCATTAAACTTATTCAATTCTTCATTATTTAGGAATAATTAATAAAGACCTTAATAAAAAGGGACTGTTGTTAACACATAAAATGTTTGTCGTAAAACTAAAAAAAAAAATGTAAACGTAATTCCTGTATATAGCTTTTTCAAAGTGGTTGTTTCTGATTTTTTTTTGTGTGAAAATGGGTTTATTTGGTTGAATAAAAACTATTGTGTGGTAATTAAAAAAAAACTCCATACTGTGTGAGGCTGAAAAATGGGGTAATTTGGTGTCCTCCCTACTATAAGATTAGTAGGAGAGTAGGCCTTGGGGAATAGTCGAGTAGCTTGAACGCTGGTCAACTGAAACCCACTCACTAGTCGTGTAATACTCTTCTGCTGTACTTACAGTTTTATATATATATATATATATATATATATATATATATATATATATATATATATATATATATGGTTTTGTTATTTCTTAACCATTTACTTGGTCACAACAGTACCCTTTCGTTTGTTCTTGTTTTATTAAACTCTCTATTTTACATATTATAAGATGCACACGTTCACCCTTTCTCCTAATTACACACACACACACACACACACACACACACACACACACACACATATATATATATATATATATATGGTGTATGATACGTTGGTAATAGTTTTATTCTAGTAAGAGCAAGTATTGAAAATTTAAACCTAAAGTCAACTTCTCATAAGAACGCAGTATTAATAACGTTCTATTCCTCGACTGCAGAGATTAACTTTTAACAACATTAAAAATATACTACAATAAACATTCAACTTTATTTTTTCAATCTATCTATCTATCTATCTATCTATTAATTCAACTTTATTTTTTAATCTATCTATCTATCTATCTATCTATCTATCTATCTATCTATCTATCAGTTTGTCTTCACTGTCCTTTTTTCTGAATATCGCTTGTCTCTCTAAATCATTTAGAAACGTAGGCGTTTCAGTCTTTAGTTATATTGGTCTATTGTTCATAGTTCTGTCTCCGAATGCGTCTGATCCGACACAAAAAAGTCAGGCCATTTTTTTCTCCCAAATATATCTGAGCAAAACATCAAGCATTTATTCATTTGATGCAGATGTTTTCAGCGATACTTTTCGCTCAATACTAGCTAAATTTCAAAACTTTGATGTTGAATCATTGTACTGAACTGCTATGTAATATCCGTACACGAATATGGGAGTGAATACGAGACAATAACTTCACAGCTGAAAAATTAACTTGAGCCAACATTAATGTTGTCCTACAGAAGGATGCTGAGAATATCATGGCCTGAAAGTTGTCCCTGAAGATGGGAGGATCCTACTGAAAATAAGTAGACCAAACCTGTCTATATATATATATATATATATATATATATATATATATATATATATATATATATATATATAAAATATATATATATATATATATATATATAAAATATAGTAGCTGCGTGGACAAGTATTTAGAACGTTTCCTGTCAAAGCATGCGATGTGTGTTCGAAACTCACCATGGCCGATTTTCAAATTTGACTTCTTGATTTTATTGACCTTGGGTAGCCAACGTATCCCAACGTTAAAACGTTCCCGATAAATTGTTAGAGTGAAAGTTGGTTTACAGAAGTGTTTAGAAGCCGCCGAGTGTTTCTCTAGCACAAAGTCACAAATCATGGTGACCAATGGTTTGAATGTACTGGCCTTTTTTAAACTGCTGATCCCGTCAGATTATGACTTCTCTGCCGGAACTTGTAATTAAGTCCCGCTCGGTCTAGTTGCAGTTTAAACGACAAGTGGTCTCTGTTGATGTTAAACAAAGACTAATGTGCCTGAGCTGGCGTCTGCAACAAGAATTGGCTAGTCGCACTAGCAGAAATGTGCGCTCAGAATCGGTTAGCCGATCAGTATAGATGTATATACATGTGTGCAATCATGAAAGTTGTGTGGCGAAACGGTATTTCTCTTTTCTCTCAAGACGCAGGTGATCAGAACTACATACTTTCTTTCTTTCCATCTCTGTGAACTTCCATGAACCTAGGAAAATATCTCTGAGTTATTTCCCGTTCTTATCCATGGTTTTGGATTGAGAATCACCCTTTTTTCCTAGACTGGAGATCCCAGTCTATTGGGTTGTTTAAACCGTAGTTAGTGGGGGAGAGATGGTTTCATGCCTTACCCAGTAGTTGCTCAGAAGTGAACGCAATCGAATTTGAACTCGGCTCGCCGATTCGAGTTTTCAATACGAAATGAGGTTACACATGTCAATGCCATCCGAGAATATCTTAAATCCACTTCATCCTTCATCTTGTCCTGTCAACCATACGAAATAACTTGTTACTGATATGGCACGATTGTTTTTAATCATTTCACTCCAAGCAAGGAGACAATGCCACTAAGACGCAGTGGGTTACAGGAAGTGAAAATGAAGGAGAACGAGTAGACAGAGAGTGGGTATCGTTGAGGAAAGGACAAAAAAAATGGGACAGCATTCAAGTAGACATGGAATAGCGATTGATGTAGCATTTAATTTTTTTCAAGATTGTAGTTATCAGGGAAGCAATAGTTCTCGAGGGAGCTCCACAGGTGGGAAGTGCGAGAAAAGGAACCGTTAGAGTAGAAATGGCGGTTGCATTTAACTATTTCATTTTTTTGGGACACCAGGGATAAAGCTCACGAGAGCAGTTATCTGAGCAATCAATTCTTTCAACCGTACCCCAGAGTCAAAGTTGAAAGGCATCAATATCCTAACGGGAAGAGTATAAAGAAATTTCAAAATATGCATAGTATTATTGAAATACGAATTCTTGACGGCCTGCGGTACAAAGGAAAGAGAACTCTAAGATATTTTACATAGAGTATGAAGGAATAATTTCAGTGAACCCTGTCGAAATAGAATTTCTTTTAATTTCCGAAACCAAATCTCGTAGAGAATTTCACGCAGTGCCTCAAAAACTTAAAAGCGAAGGAAGGAAATAAGAAAAAAATGTAAAAAGATTCGCTCGCTCGCTCTCTCTCTCTCTCTCTCTCTATATATATATATATATATATATATATATATATATATGTATATATATATGTATGTATGTATGTATGAATGTTTAAAGAGCTTGTTGAAATGTAAGGTGCCGATTTTTGTTATCGAAAAAGACATTTTATACAATGGCTTTAATTAAGTTTGAATTAACTTTCAAGGTGTAAATGGTTCTAATTTGTTCCAAAAGATTTGACAATTCTTCTTTTAAGGCGTTCAAGATGTGACAGTATTTCTAGCAATCACCTTCAAAACCGGTTCAATCCACACGCACCAGTTGAAATATTATGAATATTTCGTTGTTTGTTATAAATGACTTCCTACCACTGATTTATCACTGACAAAAATCACGATAACACTTACATACTTACTTACTTACTACTATCTATCTATCTTAGTTTGTTTCTTTTTTGCTCAGTTTGTTCCTATCTATCTATCTATCTATCTATCTTAGTTTGTTTCTTTTTTGCTCAGTCTGTTTCCTATCTATCTATCTATCTATCTATCTATCTATCTATCTATCTATCTTAGTTTGTTTCTTTCTTGCTCAGTCTGTTCCTATCTATCTATTTATCTATCTATCTATCTATCTTAGTTTGTTTCTTTCTTGCTCAGTCTGTTCCTATCTATCTATCTATCTATCTATCTATCTATCTATCTATCTTAGTTTGTTTCTTTATTGTTCAGTCTGTTCCAATCTATCTATCTATCTATCTATATTAGTCTGTTTCTTTCTTGTCCAGTCTGTTCCTATCTATCTATCTATCTATCTATCTATCTATCTATCTATCTATCTTAGTTTATCTATCTTAGTTTGTTTCTTTATTATTCAGTCTGTTCAATCTATCTATCTATCTATCTATCTTAGTTTGTTTCTTTCTTGTCCAGTCTGTTCCTATCTATCTATCTATCTATCTATCTATCTATCTATCTATCTATCTATCTTAGTTTGTTTCTTTATTGTTCAGTCTGTTTCAATCTATCTATCTATCTATCTATCTATCTTAGTTTGTTTCTTTCTTGCTCAGTCTGTTCCTATCTATCTATCTATCTATCTATCTATCTATCTATCTATCTATCTATCTTAGTTTGTTTCTTTCTTGCTCAGTCTGTTCCTATCTATCTATCTATCTATCTATCTATCTATCTATCTATCTATCTATCTTAGTTTGTTTCTTTCTTGCTCAGTCTGTTCCTATCTATCTATCTATCTATCTATCTATCTATCTATCTATCTTATTTTGTTTGTAAGTTTAATGCCCGCTATACCATGTGGCTTAAACAGTCTGTGACTGACCTCGCTGTCATCCAAACTATTAAATTTTCAATCTCTCAATCCCTCACGCAGGTGGTTGAGTTTTTATCCGTTTTCCAGTAATCCGGGCGGTAAGACATCCTTTCTAGATCTCTGTTTTACCGTCATCCCTGATTCTTGTTGCGCTACGCAGCTCTGCCCTCTTGGCAACTCTGATCACCTGCCACTCCCCCTCTAGCCATGAACCTCCTACAAACAGAATATCTTTCTGTTACCAACACACAGATTGAAACTCGTCCCGTGATTTCCTTCGTGGTTTGTGTTTTTTATTCATCCCGTACAATATGTGCGTCTGAGGTCTCTCGTACAAAAAATGTGCGTCTAAGGTCTCCCGTACAAAAATGTGCGTCTGGGGTATCCCGTACAAAAATGTTCATCTAAGGTCTCCAGTACAAAAACGTGTGTCTATGGTCACCCGTACAAAAATGTGCATCTAAGGTCTCGCGTACAAAAATGTGCGTCTGGGGTCTCCCGTAACTCCCGTACAAAAAAGTGCGTCTGAGGTCTCACGTACAAAAATGCGCATCTAAGGTCTCCCGTACAAAAATGTGCATTTGAGGTCTCCCGTACAAAAATGTGCGCCTAAGGTCTCCCGTAAAAAAATGTGCGTCTGAAGTCTCCCGTACAAAAATGTTCATCTAAGGTCTCCCGTACAAAAATGTGGGTCTATGGTCACCCGCACATAAATGTGGGTCTATGGTCTCCCGTATAAAAATGTCCGTCTAAAGTCTCCCGTACAAAAATGTGCATCTAAGGTCTCCCGTACAAAAATGTGCGTCTAAGGTCTCCCGTACAAAAAAGTGCGTCTGAGGTCTCCCGTACAAAATGTGCGTTTGAGGTCTCCCGTACAAAAAAGTGCGTCTGAGGTCTCCTCATGAGTAAAAGCTAGCATCGGCATCCCAATAAGAAAATACCAAGTTAAAACTCACCCATGTCCTTGGTTCTCACCTGCTTGATCTGCCGCTCTAATCCACAGGAATCACTTCTTCCTTTTTGTTTGCAAAAGACGTGACTCGTCTCTGCTTGTAATGAGTGGAAGCGTGTCCTCAATAAAGCAAAGTTAATGTTTCCTGATAGGATTAAACAACGTATTGCATCTCGCAAGTTTGGTTTTAAAGATTATTGGTGGCTCTGCAAGAGTGTGCTGAACTACAGCAAATCCTCAATCCCTCCTCTATTCAATCAATTCGAAGTCCTAACATCCTCAGCTGATAAGACAGAATGCTTTGCTCGGCAATTGTCATCCAATTCAACACGCAACTCACCTGGAGTACCCACACCTGATTTTCCCCCTAGAACTAAGGCTATACTGAGTGAGATGTGCATAATCCCGCCGATGGTATTAGATATAATCTCTAAATTAGACTCTCATAAAGCTGGTGGTGGGGATGGAATACCAGCCGTAGTACTAAAGAAATGTGCCACTGAACTGGCCCCTGTTTTCTCCAAACTCTATAATTGTTGCCACGCCGATTCTTGTTTTCCAGTCTGTTGGAAATCCTCTTCTATCACCTATCTGGAGACCCTTCGTACCCATCTAACTACCTTCCCATCAATCCCTTACCACTCTTCAGCAAAGTCTTCGAGGCTTTAATCAATGTCGAAGTAGTTAAGCATCACACCTCCCACGATCTGCTCTCTGACAAACAATAAGGTTACCGCTTTACTCGTTCTATAGCTGATGTGCTTACGGCCATAACTGAATATGTATACCTAGCTCTTGATACTAATGACGAACCTCGAGCTATTGCTCTGGATATATCGAAGGTGTTTGACAGGGTTTGGTATGTTGGACTTCTACGTAAACTTCAAGAATACGGTATTACATAGCGTTTATTTGATTTAATCCAATAATTCCTGTTTAACCGTGAAATGAAGGTTGTCCTGAACGTGTTCTCTTCCAGTTTCTTCCGTACGAACGCTGGTGTTCCTCAAAGCACGATCCCTGGTCATGTTCTGATCTTCATCATTGATCTTCCTGGCGTCATCAGTTCTCAAGTCGGCATCTAAGTAGATGACATTACCATTTACTCCTGTGTCAATAGCAAATCCGGCATTGTTGGCAAAGTTAACCTGACGAGCTATTTTCTTCCAAAAATTTCTCTTGGATTCCAAAAATTTCTCTTGAAGATGAAACACAGCTTGATGCTTTAATTCAGTTTAATTTTTATAATTAAGTTGAAGTTTTTAGCTCCTGCTTTTGAAACATGATAACTCTTATGTAGCGATGGAATCATATTTTAAAAAAATAATTAAAATTCAGGCTCTACTTATGTATTGAGCAATGTTTTTTAAAATAAAAACAAAAATGATAAAGAACTACGGATTATTAACCTAACGGTTCTTTCATATTTTTCTATATATTTGCAGACACACACACACACACACATATACATATATATATATATATATATTGTTGTAAAGTATGCTATAAGTATGAGTAAAAGTGCTCAATATGAGAGATTGCGCGTATGTAAATTCGGGCCATGAAGTTTGCGTTCGAGGCCGAAACAGACTGTTGCCGCTTGGAGTTGATCCCAGTGTCCACTGATACACACACACACGCACACATTTCTATATAATTATAATATATTCCACATATATATGTAGAGTAATACAACAGAGCTATCAAGTATATATTAATAAATATACATATCATCCTTCACCGATACCACGACTGACTCGGAGTTTCACGCACAACATAATCTTCAGTCTGTACTCAGTACCGGAACAGTGTGTTGTGCATTAAACACCGAGTAGTGCCATTAGTGGGGCGTAGGATATATATATATATATATATATATATATATATATATATATATATATAAAATATATAGTAAAACCTAGAGAGCCAGACAAACCTACCAAGGTTTCACCTAGGCGAATCATCAGGGAAGGCTGGCTGGTTATTTTGCTTACTCGTATCGGGGTTTTTTTCTTTGGATTTTGGACTTGTATGCTGGATGATTATTTTCGGCTAACGTACATGTTCTTATCTTTCTTTTTTATACCTTATTTTTCCTTTGGTATTGGTCTGATTATTTGCAAATCAAGACACCGAAGGTTTTTCGAATGAGAATAATTTCTTATACTTATAAGATTATTACTAGTATATATATATATATATATATATATATATATATATATATATATATATATATATATACACACTCTCTGTGTGTGTGTGGAGTATATTTATATAGGCAACTGAACATCGAACTTATAATTGTTGAATTTAATTGATTAGGCACTGTGTTATGAGTTTTGCTTTGCGAACAATTTCGGCAAGACAGCGTTTTGAAAATTAATTTATCTTTGTTGACTTTAAAAAATTATCCTAAGCAGCTGCTAAGAAAATTTTTATTCCAAATATTTTTAATATAAATAAATATTTATTTTTGGTAACGTTTTTTTTTTACACCTCTTTGATGCTAAATAACATCAAAAGTTACAAGTAGTCTACAGACGTTGTCTATTGAATCCCTTTCATGACTTTTTTTCAGTCTGAATTTCTTCGATAAGGAATTATCATTATTCACTATATTTATATTCGGACTATTGTTCTCATCTTTGAGGATCTTATCACAACGTACTCTACGGTGTTGGCTCTTCTCCTTCCACTCCCCATGTTTAGGGATATAGTACTGCCCAGTTATTGCTCGCCCGCTTACACTGAACTCACAACCACTATGTCTCCAAATTCACAAACCAACTCTTTCATTCACTCAGCCATTTTCACGTAGGACAATTTGCTGTAATGTAGCCTTAAACCTACCTGCCTGTTGATTAATGCTGCTATGTACCTACTATCCTGCCGCTGACTACCATTGATTGCTGTTGCGGCTTTTAAAGCCTTGCTGTCATTTGTCGTTCCGTCTTTATTGATTGCATTGCAGGTCCTTCTTTGGATTTTGTCAAAACATCGAGACGAATAACAGGAATACAAGACCAGATATGGCAACAGTATTCAATGTACGGACGATTAGTAGTTCAATCTATCTATCTATCTATCTATCTATCTATCTATCTATCTATCTATCTATCTATCTATCTTAATCTTTTTATTGCATATAACAATCTGTTTGGGGGAAGCCACGTCACGTCGATGAGAAAGTGACTCAAGTCAAGATGCCAATTTAAGATAGATTTCATTGCAGAAACTTCTTTTGATTTTGTCAAAACATCGACACGAATAGCAGGAATATAAAACCAGATATGGCAACAGTATTCAATGTACGGAGGAATGGTAGATCTATCTATCTATCTATCTATCTTTTATTAGATGTCGAAATCGCTTTATCTTCCATAATCTTTGCTTCTTTGAGCTAGTAATAAAAGAAGTGACTCGTTATCGTTTCTAATATTGACGATGAAATGTTTCACATGTCTGTCTAACTCATTTAACTAATAGTTAAGTTTCAAACAACAACACACACACACATACACGTGTACAGACTTCCGCACACACACATAAACATTCGCGGCAAAACATATCCATATCCACTGAAAGCAACAGACACGCATTAACACGCGCAGATACTTGTCTCTAAACAGTTTTACACATATCTTAAATCAGTTATCCGCACGCACGCACGCACGCACGCACACACACACACACACACACACACACACACACACACACACACACACATTAAATAATTACAGACCATTATTTCTTCAACAAGTTGGATTGTTTAGCAGTATGCTTTTGTCAGTAGTGTCTGTTACAGTGAGTTGTGTTTTCGTAGGTGACATATCACGGATAAGTATAAATAAATAAAAAAAGCAAGCTAATGTGCAACTACAATAACTTGCAAGGCACCTCACACTCATGTTAATAAGATGGTACCATTCCTACTTAGAAATGTGTATATTATCATGGCTTTACCATCTCAGAGCTTTCATTGGCACAATAGTTTTGTATTGTCATTTATTAGCTTCAAGCTTCTTAAAATGCTCTATCATCAACCATACAGCATTTACGAGGATGCAATAACTTGTTTGGCCCATTATGATCTGAGGAAAGCATACTGCTAATTATTCTTAATTTTGTAGTAAAATTAGCAAAATGAATTAATTTACTTTTGTGAGACCGTAACATACCTACAACATGGACTCTTCCAGGACTATATAAAGTATGCGACATAACACTCTACAGAAGAGAAGAAGCAGAGGAGGAGAGAGAGAGAGAGTATTCTAATACCGTAGTATCAGCCGCGTACGACTACCAATATTGGACACAAGCACATAGTTAGCTCCGCTTACACTTACACTATCTTTGTAACCTTTTTATTTAATATATCTTTCTGACCTCTAATCCGTGTTCCGTGTTTTCCTTCCGTGATCCCAACTTTGGGTCCACATCATTTACCAAGGTTGTCCAGACATTCTGCACACCGCTGTCTAAGACAGATTATGTATTCTCGCATGGGCACGTGGCAAGAACGTTCGCATGAGAATGGCCATGAGACTCGGGTTGGAATGGTCGATTTGTCGATTTCCAGATGGACTGGAGGGATCGATCCCTGAGAGCGGCACCTTTGTAAAGTGCCTGAAAACTTTGTTGAGACAAGCCGTGTGAGTGAAATTGGCCAGGCAGAAAGGGGCGTCGATAGCTGACACGTCGTCGTGGCTGAGGCTTTGTTCAAAGTGGATAACACTCTCTTTCCCAGAAACTGTAACTAAGGTCTTCTCAGCATAGGTAGGCTCTGTGGATGTTGAATAAACGCAGACTTGACTGAGCAAGCGTCTTCAATAGGGATTGGCTAACCGCCCTAGTTTACGGGTATCCTCGAATACGAGTGGCCATATGCACTCTCGCCCAGAAACCGCAATTATGATCTGTTCAGTATGCTACATCATAAACGAGGGAGGGCTCAGTGGATGTTGAACAAATACAAATTTGCACGGGGGAGATATCTGCGATAGGGATTGGCTTACCGCCCTAACAGACGGGTATGTTCGGAGTTGAAGAACTTTAGGGTTTGACCTTGCAACCAGGGTTCGAACATTTGTCATGGCATGGTCGATTTGTTAATGAAGGTCAATTCTTGTTGATATCGGCCTGTGGAGACGATCCAAGTGTGTAACCTCGGGGGAAAGGGCCGAAAAACCTATACACAGGCTGATCCAAAACGAGGGCAACTAGGTAAGATGAAAGTCGTCGATGGTTTTGCATTTATTTGCTGATTTCCTGACTTGTCACGAGATGCACCAACTCCCTTTAAACTGTGTTTAAATGATGAAGACGTAAATTGGGTTCCTGCGTTGGAAATCACTTGGCATGCAATCTTATATATTGCAAAGTGTGGCTTCAATTTGCGGATGACAGTTACGTAAGTATTATCCTCAAGTCGTTCTATTTTCCAGATGTTCAGAAAATGATCAACAGTTATAAGGTATTCAATGTTGTCAAACTCAAACAGGTCAACGTCAATCTTCTGCCATAGACGATCAGGTATGTTATGTGACATTAGTGTCTCTTTATCTTGTTCTGTCCTTAACTTGACGCAAGTCTCACACGTAGATACGTGATCACGGGTGTCTGGCAACATACTTGGCCAGAAAAGATATTGCCTAGTGCGCCGGAGTCATCCATCAATACCTATGTGAGATGAGTGAATTGTACATTTGATATCACTCCGCTAGCCGAGATGAATGAAAACAATGTCACCTTTAAATATGAGATTATCTTGAGTGGACATCTCATCACGTAAATGAAAGTATAGTATATAAAATGCGTAAAATATTAAAGATTTCCCTTATTAGACGACCAACCTTTATTAGACGGTTGACTTGTGTTATATGGTTTATTAGACAGCCGACCTGTGTAATATGTTTTATTAGATTATCGACCTGTATAATATGGTTTATTAGACAGCCAAACTTTATTGGACGGCCATCTTGTGTAATATATTATATTAAATGACCGACCTTTATTAGGCAGCCAACCTTTATTAAACGGCCAACCTTTATTGAACGGCCAACTTGTGTAAAACAGTTTATTAGATGGTCGACCTTTATTAGACACCCAAACTTTATTAAACGGGCAAACTTTATTGGACGGTCAACGTGCAATATAGTTTATTAGACGGCCGATCTTTATTAGATGGCCAACCTTTATTAGACGGCCGACCTGTGAATATATTTTATTAGACGGCCAACGTTTATTAGACAGTCAACGTGCAATATAGTTTATTCGACGGCCGACCTTGATTAGACGGCCAAACCTTTATTAGACGGCGAACCTGTATAATTTATTTTATTAGACGGCTGACGTTTATTAGACGGTCAACCTATGTCATATTCTTGTCATGAGCTGATTATCTTTTGTTCTGCAGATCTGCATAAGTCTTTCGCTAAAGTTGACCATATTTACATGCTTCAATCTGGTTGACAGATCTTCTCATCTGTTAAATATGATCGTCGTGATGTATATGTGTTTTTAATTGACATACACTACATTAATGTCGTATTTTGATGTGCCGTGTATCATTCCTTGTAGACGTTTTGGCGCTTTTACGAGTAGTTACTTCGCTATGACTTCTAGAGGTTTGTGGTCAGTTTGAATCTTTGTTCTTCTAACATATGTTTACTGATGAAAACTTTCCAGTGAAAATACTATTGCAACCTTCAGAATTTGTGCATACATCTCCTCAGTATCAGTGAGAGTTCTACTTGCATTATGCTTACAAGCATTTCTGGGTTTCTTCACAGTAAATGACGCGTGATTCACTAGAGTGACTGAGTGCCAGGGCTTTTTGTGGTGAGTTTTTCAATTTCTGCGAACGCTATGTTGTCATGTGTACGAGTCCATGGAACATATTCGAGTGTCAACTGTCGGATCTACTCCATGATAGTAGGTAGTTGCAGTAGAAATCTTCCAAGCTATACACCCTCTATTGAAGTAGCTGTTAGCAAATTTGGTGACTGTTTCAATCTGATAATTGGCCATCACGGGTTACAAAGTGCACCATCAAGCTGATTGCTGATTGCTTAAAGGGGACGTTTTCTTTGATCACTTGGATTCTTTTCTCACGGTAGCTCTTTCAGATTTATATCATGATTTACTGATTTTTGCCCAAGTTCGTCTCCTAAACTAAACATGATTATATTATCACCAACACACGCAAATTCTATTCAAGTCATCAACGAAGACGTTTCCCTTGCCCCGAACTGATATCCGTTCTAAAGGCATATATATATATATATATATGATTATATTGTATTAATTCCGCTAATGAATTCTTACATATCCTCCACTTTTATACACCAAAATTTAAGTATTAGCGTTATTATTCTTTTAATATAACTTGTTTAGAGAAACGGTTGATGTCAAAATATTCTAAATTTAAATTATACATACATATATATATATATATATATATATATATATATATATATATATGCAATTTAAATTTAGAAACTTCTAAATTTAAATAATATATTTATATATATATATAATTTAAATTTAGAATATTTGGATATCAACTGTTGTTCTAAACAAGTTATATTAAAAGAATAATAACCCTAATATATATATATATATATGATATATATATATATATATATATATATATATATATATATATATATATATATATAATAACATATATATAATATAATAACTTAATATATATATAATAATATAATATAATAACTTAATATATATAATAATATAATAATATAATATAATAATGACTTAATATATATATATAACATATATATATAATATATAATATAATATATATATATATATATAATATATATATAATAGATATATATATATATATATATATATATATATATATATATATATATATATATATATATATATCCGTATATTTTGGCAGACTGTTTTTATTGGGACATGTTTCATTGAATAATTAAGACAAGTTTCGTTTACTTATTCTCAGTTGGATCCTTTCATGTTCACAGATGAGCATTGTCAACTAACCCTAAACATATTAATCTTTTATATCACAACAAAATACATTCTAATTATAAACATTACAAAAATATCCTAAAAATTTAATAATTACTAACATATCTACCACAGGTCCTAGTAAAATAATAAAATTGATATACTACAGTAAATCCTGTATTTCCAGTTTAATTATTCGTAATGACTCTTCTTCACTAACTAACGTGTTGCAGGAGACCAACATTGTATGTAAATTTAAATGTCCTCTGGGAGATTTTATCTCCAACGGAAAAATATATTTATGTAGGCCACACTACGACCACGTTGTCTTGGCGACTGAGTTTTCATTTGAATGACGCATTCAACATTTCTAAATATTTAAAGCAGCATACCTGTCAATTCTTG